GACCGGGGAAATCTGAGGGCACCTAGTTTGCTTTCAGAGATGGCCCCGCCCCCTTAAAGGAATAGCTGACAATGTGACTCCCCTTATCTGTTCCACCCTGAGCACCTGGAGGGAGCTGGGCAGAGTTCCCGGCACACAGGAAGCACTCGGCAAATGCCAGCGGTGCTATCTGCTCGGATCGCGCCCCTTCCTTCTGCCTCTTTTTGACCATTTCTTCCCCAATTCCCAGAGAGAATTCTGGACCTTCCGCATCCTGAGGACTCACCCCTAAAAACTTTCTGAAGACAATAGGTATAGTCGTAATGACGACGATGGTGATGTAACAGCTAACACTCACATAGCATGATGTGCCAGGGAGCTGCCTCCAGAGTTTTCATAACTTAACCCGTTTCATTCTCACCACAGCCCTATGACGCAGGAACCGCTATTATCTCCAGCTTACGGATGGGATAAACTGTGGCACAGACCGGTTATGTCACTTGCACAAGTCGCATTGCTGGGAAGTGTGGAGCTGGGATTTGAACCCAGGCCACCTGGCCCCAGAACCTGGGCCTTCAGTCACTGCCCGGGATGAGCCACATTGTCCATTGACATCATTCCAGACCCATCTCAACCCCTACCCCTTCCTCCAGGAAGATCTTCAAACTGGGTCCAATAAATATTGCCCGTGACTGCTCCACGCCAGGTCGTGCGTTAGGCGCTGGGAGCAGTGGCAAAAGAGCAGGCAAAACTTGGTCCTAGGGGTGCCCATGCTCTACCTGCCTTTCCAGGCACTTGGGGATGTGGCCTGCACTGCTATTTCACAGGCCCATGGGGGTTGTATTAAGACTTTTCTAGAATTCCTGAAAATACACACATGTTTTATCTCCCCCATGTAGGCTGTGAGGCTGGGGAAATAAAACCTGCCAAGAATCAACAGGGCAGAGAGGAAAAAACAGAGCTTTAGAGTCAGGCAGGCCAGGGGGTTGAATCCCAGCTCTGCTGCTTCATTGCAGTGTGACCTCGGGTGAGTCACTTTGCCTCTCTGTGCCTTTGTTTCCTCATCTTTTAAATGGGAATAATACATTAAGAATACCTGTATTATGAATTTAATTTTTAAGGTTTTTGGAAGGGATCAGACTACCTTACTCTTCTGCCTTTGCCACAGGAGAAGGGAACTGGCATTTATTGAGCACCTATGACATGCAATACTAGATGCTAAGGGCTTTATACACACTGCTCATTCAATCCTGAAAAAAAAAAAACCCTCTAGGTTGGGCCCTGGGGATGCAATGGTGATTAAACAAACCTCTGCCCCCATGGGGCCCCAACTGTTCACTGCCCTTGCTCAGGACCCAGGGATAAAATTTATCTCCAATCTGTAGAGGAGGAAATTGAGGCTCAGAGAGGTTAAAGCAACTTCACTGAAATCAGACATCAACAAAATAAAGAAGCAGAGATTCAAACTCCAGAGCTGATATCCCCTGATGTTGCTGGCTTACAATAAGCGCTCAATAACTGCTCCTCAGACACCACACTGACAACGCAGACCTATACGTACATCCATAGAAGGCTCTGGAAAGGATCTGGTACTTCATATTGTCACAGAGAAGCTTCAGGGGAGCCCTGCAGGTGGAGAAAGAGGCAGATGCTTAGAGTAGATCCAAATGCAACCCGGGTTTTCTGGCGGGGAGCAGAACTCAGAGGGCAGATTAAAACCAGACAGGCAGACCAGAGGGCAAGCTGCTGTTATTTCTACCCATACAGCAACGTTGCCCCTTCTTCTATCAGTGCCCCAATTTTCCTTTCAGAAATCAACCCCTCCATAACTCTGTCCCTGTGGTCGGATGGAGCTGACTACTCAGTACAGGACCCAGGTTGGAATCACAGTGATTGGGCCAGAGATGGTCATGTGACCCAACCTGGGGCAATGAGAATCGGCCCTGGGACTTTTAATGGAGGTACTAGGAAACAGACACTCTTATTTTCTGCCTGAGTCTCTAAGCTGGTGGGATATAAGGCAGTGGCTGCTGGGAGCCAGCTTTGCCACTGCACAGGAAGGGCCTACCCGAGAATGGAACCATCACAGAGGCAAGCGAAGCCAAGAGCTAAAGAAACACAGAGAGATTCCTGTTTTCAGCAGCTGGATCCAGCCATGCCTGAGGCCACTGTGCCTCTGAACTTCTCAGTTATGTCAACAAATCTTCTGTTTTACTTGAACCAGTTTGAAGTGGATTTCTGTCACTTGCAGAAAGAGTTCTGACTTCTAAAGTGACCCAGGTGAACCAAACAGAGCCAGATTGGGACTCAGAGTCTGGACGATTGCAAAGTAGGGGATGCCTCAAAGCTTCTCCTTGCATGGGAATTTTGGGGAGCCTTTTTTGGCTGAAAGAGGAGAGAGGAGCAAGGTCCCAACATTGTTGGAGAAAACAAAAGACTGCTGAAGGGAGCATTGTGCATTCTTGCAGAGGACAGAATGGAAGAATATCTGCATGTTTATTTTCAGGACATCCCAAGGGACACCTAGAAAAACCTAGGGAGACTGGAGGGGGAAGGGTAGCTGAAGTCCAGTTATACACGTGGAGGCATTAAACATTAAAGTGTCTCCCTTTGTGTCCTCAGGTTGGTGAGGCCCAGACTTGCTCAGGTTACATGAGAACAGGATCACACTGACACCTGTCCCACAGTGGATTTGGCTTTCCATGAGATAGTGAGCTCCCCGTCACTCCAGGTGTGTAAGCAGGTGCTATGAGGGGGGCAATGGGTTAAAGCACCATTTCTCACTGGTCCGTGGATCACCAGCCCAAGAGTTACTTGCGGTTTCTCCAAAATGTAGATTCCTGAGCTCCCCACAGACTTCCTCAATCATGACCTGTAGGAAGTAGCCCAGGAACTGATATGCTCTGATCTCCTCCAGTAAAATTTGAGAATCTCTGGTTATATCATTGCTTCTCAAACTTGAAAGTATATACATGATCTTGGGATCATGTTAAACATAGATTCTGATCCAGCAGGTTTGGGAAGAGAGAATAAGAAGCTGCCCGGGTGATAATGCTGGTTCCCTGACCACACGCCGTGGAGCCAGGGGTTGGATGACTTCAAAAATCTGATGGTGGCTCCCACCACTCACACTCCTGTGGCTGAAGACTGGACTATCCACTGGGACAGACACCCAGCTGGGACAAAAGGATTCCATTCTCTCAGGCCAGGCCAGGCTGAACCAGTGGGAAACAAGACCCATCTCATGAATTGGCTCAATAGCTCCAAAGAGACAAAAGCTCTATGAGCAAAAAAAGAGAGAGGAGCTTGAGATTTAACTTTATATAATAAAGCAGTAAATGCTGTTTATTGGATATTACTGTGTGCCAGGCGCCACATGCTGGCCACTTCAAACCATTATGTGATCTGGAGAAGCAATCTGAGATGCATGTGGCTGTCATTAAATAGTATTTCTGGTATTGTTCTGCCTTCTGGGCACATGGTAGGGCTGCACTTCCTGGCCCCTTGTGGGTGGGGCCAGTGAGTTGTGAGCAGAAACGGCACGGGCTGCTTTTGAGTGGAGCATTTATCGTTGGTTCGGGCCCCTCCAGAGCTATGGTTCCCTCTGTCACTGTGACTGGCAACATTTCAGATGGCAGCTGCTCCATCAGTCAGTCCCTTTAATATGGAGAAAGAAGAACCCCCAGCTGACCCATGATAGACACAGAGCACGCATGATATATAAACCTTTGTTGTAAAAAGCCCCCGAGATTTTAGAACTGTTTGTTACTGCAGCACAACATTGTTTATCCTGACCGATACACATAAGTAAACTCCAACAGCTAGGACTCCACGAAGCCAGGATTTAACCTAGATCTGGTTGGTTCTATAGCCTACGTTCACATCTCTGAATTCAGTGCAGGGAAAGAAGTGGGCATCCACAAGTCTTTGGTAAATCCTTCAATTCCCTCCATCATACCTCTCGTGGTTGCAGCCGTTGGTTGAGCTGCCATCGGCCGAGCCGCTCTGTGAACAGGATGAGCAGGAGGATTTCCGGGGGCTAGGCTGCCATAGGGATGGGAGGTTGCTCACGGAGACATCCATAAGATCCTGGGGGACTATGATGGGTAGAAGAAAAGGCAGAAGAGCCACGGTAAGCCTATGTAGATGACAGAAAGCTCACCCCAAAGCTAGCAGCTTACCCCCAGGCCAGCACAGGGATAGGGAAAGATCCCAAATGGGACAGTAGGAAACCCCAATCATTGTCTGACCCAGGCCCTTGAGCCTGTCTGATCCAATGAAAGCCACCACCAAATCATGGGGGCCCCAGCAGATGGGGCAGAGCTGATGACAGGCAAAGAGAGAGGAAGAAAACCGAGAGAGAAAGAGAGAGAAGAATCAAGAAAACAGGCCCAATCCCAGAGCAGGAGGCCAAGCCTCGTCATGTTGTCATTTAGTCACGCTCACGAGACGCTGCAGGAAGGAAGGGGAGCCTGCTGGGTGCTTCTGGGGAAAACTGATGGTCTCGCATCCCCAGAGTCAGACCTCATGGGAGCTCCTGGTGGTGAGATGGAAGGGGGCCTGGCTCAACAGACAAGGTAGGGCACCCAAGGTCAAGAGAGCAATAGAGTCCCTGGTGGCGAAGGAAGCGGGCTCCTGCGCTGTCCATGGTCCTGAGCCACAGAGATGCTGCACCAAGCAGGTCTCACACAGACTAGATCCCCTAGAATCATGTGAGGGGCTTGTTAAGAAGCCATATGTCCATCCCACATCCCTGGCCTACTGAACCAAAACCTCCTGGAGACAGAGCCCTCAAATCGCTATTTTTAAAACAATTTCAATACAGCAGCCATGCTAGGGAGACCCTGATCTCCTAACTCCTGGACACTGGTGATTCCTGACCAACTTGGCTCCCAGGATGCAGCACTCATACTTTCCCTTATTTTATTTTTCTTTCCCAGCTTCATGAAAACTTCAGTGTCTGCAAAACTACACGACAAACGTGCATGACACACGCATGACACATGCAACTGAGGACACATGCGTCACAATTTCTATAGTCAACTTCCTGGCCTCTTGGCAGTTCTAGACAGGTGTGAAAGTTTTATCTTCTCTAAGACAGGGCTCAGTGAAGTTTTTCTGTAAGGGGCCAGGTAGTAAGTATTTTAGGGTTTGCAAGCCATTTGGTCTCTATCATCACCACTCAGCTCTACTGTTGTGCAAAAGTAGCCACGAACAAATGTAAACAAATAAGCATGGATATGTGCCAATAAAACTTTACATATAAATATGGAAATGTGAATTTCGTATCATTTTCACATGTTGCAAAATAGTTTTCCTTCAGTTTTATTTCATCATTTAAAAATTTAAAAACCATTTTTAGCACATGGGCTGTACAGAAAATAAGGCTAGATTTGGCCCAGGGGTCTTAGTTTTCTGATCCTTGTTCTAGGAAATTAAGACAGGCGCACATTTTCCCATATGCCATGTGCTGGGAGGACAATTGGTAATGCCCTTCCTCTTCCCCTGGGCTCCAAGGGGAGGGAAGTTGTGGACCTGGCCCCTCGTGTCATCAGAGCTCAGCAGCTGACAGGGTCAGTCCCTATCCATAGACAGAATAGGAAGCCACCTACAGAATGCAGTTCTTGTGGCCACCAAATGTGGCATCTCGCACTATTCCTCCCCATGCAGACTCACCCATGAGCTACCCAAGAAAGACCACTGTGCCCCTATAAAATGTTTTAGAAAAACATCCCCAGTTCTTAGCCAATCTCAGGGAAGTAATGATCAGTTCAGCCCAGGTGTGGCAACCATATATTTACCCCAGCCCCCGACACCCATGCAGACATCACCAATGGATCCCTGTGCTACTGAGCCCACACTACCCCAAGCTGCCTTCTGCAGGGTGGAGGCTGGACAGCACAAGGGAATTGATTTGTCTCCTGCTTCCATCTCCTGCGGGACCAGGACTCAAATGACAACATGGCAGAGGTGGCTGGCACCCAGCCCCTGGAAAACGGGGGAGCCCGAACATTACTGGGGGGCTGCTCCTTCAGGCCTGGTGTGGGGAGGGTGGCGTCCCATCTGGCTCGTGCCCACTGACTCCCCCTGGCCACCACCAGCATGGACCGGCCTACAGGAACCATCGTCCAGGCAGGGCCCACAGAGGCAGGGGAAGCGCTGCCCAAGAGGTCAGGGGCCACTTGAGACACAAAACAAAAAGATCTGGTGAGATGGGAGGTCTGAGGTGGGCAGGACACGGCGACAGCTGGAAAATCCAATTCCCGGGGTTCCCATCCTTCCCCTGCCCTGCTCTACACAGCCCCCGCATATACTGTGTGTGATCTGCAGAAGAAAGAATGCCGATAAAAGTGCCTACTACGTGCTGGGTGCTGGGCTAGGCAGTTGCTTTATTGTCATTAGCTGCATCGTCATCCTTGCAAGGGATGCATTTACTCCCCCCCCCCATTTTGCAGAAGAAGAAACTGAGGCTCAGAATGATGACACAAATTAATCACCCAGAGCCCCGCCAAGGTAGCAACCAGCATAGCTAGTCTTTTTGACTGAAGTCCTTCTTCTCCTTCCACTAACAACAGCTGTCACTTACTGAGTGCAGATACTATCATCACCCCCTTTTACAGATTAGGAAACTGAGACCCAAAACATTTAAGCAACATACCCAAGACCACACAGCTAACAAGTGTGGAGCCAAGATTCCAACCCAGGGGATTTGGCTTTGCCATCCTGCTCAGATCCCCTCAGCTGTTTCACATGAGTTCTTCTCCCTACGCCATCCCCTCTCAACTGGGGCAATTTCGGCCACACCTGGAGACATTCTTGGGCGTCACAACTTGGGGGATGCTACTGACATCTAGTGGCT